AAGTTTGTAAATAAACAACAACAAAAAAGCGAGAGATAATAAAGGTTAAGTGGCCTGACCACTTTGGATGGATCATAAGGGAGTGTTTTTTGTCACAGAGTGACGGCTGTAGCCAGTGGTCGCTGCTGCCGTGGCCAGCCATATGACAAAGATGAATGTTAAGCTTTTTATCCTCTGATAAAGAGGGGCTAACAACAGCATATTTTAATCAACCTCTTTCTACTTCTGCCACGTCCCACAGGAAAATGACTAAAGCATTTACTCTTCAGTGCCAAAGGTGATGGTGGCTTTCCCACATACACTTCTGTCACGTATTTGAGTCAATCTGAAACCATTGCTTCGAATTTGAGACTATCGTAGACCATTACCGAGTATTGGATCTTATCTGGCATAAGTATTACTTATCAGAATCCATTTGACAGACACCACATATCTGAGTCTAGTTGACACCGTTAGACACCATTACCATGTGAGTTCATCTCAAATAAATGAACTGGATGTACTAGACATCTTTACCATGTACAAGAGATCATTACCACTCGGTATAGTTCATTTACTAATACCTTGTAATCATTACACTGTGTTCACAAAGTCACGGATCATAGGAAATCCCACATTCATTTGTAATGGTGACTACATCATTTGCTGCAAAATACATCTCCTCAATCTCAAAACATGCTTGTAACCATGTTATGAGACTGGTTAGACGCATTCTCCAACAACTGACGAAGCCATACTTCGTCGTAAATGTTGTTTTTTTCTTATGATGAGTGATTTGGGTGTCAAGAGTCTAGTACAGCAATGTACTTGCTGACTCGCTAAATAAGGACACCATACATCCAGCACGACTCTTTCACCTTGTGGGAATAGCCTTGACTGACGTACGAGACATTTTTGAGTGTGGGACTGTTGCTGCGGATCGTGCATGCAGCGAGAGTTGAATTGTGCAGTTTAAAGAATTATAATCCTGTTGTTATTCAGGACTTGAAACATGTAAAAGTTGCCACTATTATTAATTCGCTGCCATCATTACCAGTATTCAGTAAACATTATACTGTTACTATGAACACCAGTTGTGGCTATCATGGCAGGGTTACCCTCATAAGTGGCGGAACTACATTTCTAGGGCTCTGAAGCTTGAACTGTTATGGGCGCCCCTTCGCAGCCCCTTCTCATACAGTAGACCCAGAATTTTTATGCAATGTGGACTAAAGTCGCTTGTTGGGCCCCTACGGGATTAAGGACCCTGAAGCTTAAGCTTCACTAGTTTCATAGTAAATCAGCTCCTGACCGTCATTACGCATCTTATCACAATATTAACATAACACATTTAACTCCATTAGTGGTAGGTCGGCCCATATCCATAATTCGTCCTAAGTCATAAAGAGATCACTATGTAGATGTTAGCAGCGGTGGGAGTAGCGAAGTCGGTGACCATGGTGGAAGGAACGTCAGAAACGGCCGCAACGGCAGCGTGAGGAACGACCACAACAAATAGCAGCAACGGCAGCGTCAGAAACCGCGGCAAAGGCAGCGTCAGAAGCGGCGGCAACATCAACGTCAGAAGCGGTGGCACCAGCAACGTCAGAAGCGGTGGCAGTGAAAGCAGCGGGGGTGTCAGGTGCAGTGTCTGCAGCATCAGCATGGGCATGTGTGTGTATCGCAGTCACAAACTATATTCATAATCAGATCCAAGTAACAGGTAACAACCAATAAATTTTTACAAAACGGGAAATCTCCCAGCTATTTATTCCAAATAACTGGATGCTGGGTTCTTAGATACTTTTCATTCCAGCACTGCTGTGAATGAAAAGAACTCGAGAAGAGTAAATGGTGTTACCTACAGCTGTATATACTTGATTTAAGGCAAGCAAGTGTGCGCGCGGGAGCACACTTGTCGAGTTATGGTTGCCGGAATCTAGTTTTTCAGCTTTTTTGCCCCGTCTCTTAAACTAAAATCAACTCCTTGCTATTGGATTCTAGACTTGTTTTTTGGCCTCATCATACCCATTGTTGAAACTGTATAAGGAGTTTGCTTGCTCACATTCCTCTTCCAACTCATTCCAGTTAACACCCAAAGACTGAAAAACAATGTTTTATCGACCAGTTATCATTCAAGAGTCTCATCCCTGTCAAATTTTCGAAGAATCTTGTAAATCATAATCATGCCTTTCGTGGTCCTTCTTTCTCTTCTAAGGATGTTAAGTTCTCTTCTTTTAGTTTCTCTCCACAGGACAAGTTTCTCAGCTATGGAACTCTTCTTCCTGCCAACTGACAGAAATTCTAGAGTTTCTGAATATTTTTTAACAGGTATATGATTAGTAGTGTCGCTGATAAGGCTGACACACTCTGTTAATTATAGTTTTCTAGAGGATTCACTGTTAAGGTTTCTGAAGACAGTCTTAAGCTCGTGTATACTGCCAATGTAAGGCAGTTTATTTCAGCGCTAGATGACCCGTAGGGATTTAGCTATTTTTAACATTAAAACATATGTAATTATAACAACTTCGAGTGAAATGTTCAGTGTGATGTTCACCCCAAGCACAGTGTCGGTCATGCTGATGACATGCTAAAACAAGGCCAATAGTAGCACTTGATTTATAAATTTACTAGCATTTACCTTTTTTATGATGTGGGAGTCATCACTTGCTAATTTAAATGCTTGCATTGAATGTACACCCACTAGTATAATAATTTGCTTCAAAATAAGCCAGCCACACAGTAGTAATAAGCAAAAAATTATTACGTTTAAAAACATTTCAGGTCTCCCCATGTTCATACTGGAGTATGAATTGTAACTTTTTTGTGAACATTTGTGAATGTTTGTCAGACTTTCATTAATACCCTGGATTATATGGTTATGTTTTTCGTATCTAGACATGTGATGGTGGATCCGTGAGAAAATTCTTTCTCTCTTGACTGTAGTACTAGCCTGTTCCTTATTATTTTCTCATTCATCTTACACGGAATGAATGTTAAGAATTCTGGTCTATAATTTAACGCTTGTCTATCTCGTTGTACAATCCTGGTATAACAGTGTGTCTCACAATTGCCTGGTAGATCTGCCGTCTCCAATGACTGTGTGCGTGCGTGTGTGTACTCACCTAGTTGTGGTTGCAGGGGTCGATTCACAGCTCCTGGTCCCGCCTCTTCGCTGGTCGCTACTAGGTCACTATTCCTGCTCAATGAGCTTTATCATACATATTCTTAAAGCTATGTACGGATCCTGCCTCCACTACATCACTTCCCAGACTATTCCGCTTCTTGACAACTCTGTGACTGAAGAAATACTTCCTAACATCCCTGTGATTCATCCGAGTCTTCAGTTTCCAACTGTGACCCCTTGTTGTTGTGTCCCATCTCTGGAACATCCTGTCTCTGTCCACCTTGTCGAATCCTCTCAGTATTTTATATGTTATCATATCCCCATTATCTCTCCTGTCCTCCAGTGTTTTTAGGTTGATTTCCCTCAACCTCTCCTCGTAGGACATACCCCTTAGCTCCGGGACTAGTCTTGTTGCAAACCTTTGCACCGTCTCTAGTTTCCTTACGTGCTTGGCTAGGTGTGGGTTCCAAACTCGTGCTGCATAGGTCTAACGTACACGGTGTACAATATCCTGAACGAATCGTTAGTAAGATGTCGGAATGCTGTTCTTAGGTTTGCCAGGCGTCCGTATGTTGCAGCAGTTATTTGGTTGATGTGCGCCTCAGATGTGCCCGGTGTTTTACTCACCCCACGATCCTTTTCGGTGAGTGAGGTTTGTAGTCTCTGGCCCCCTAGACTCTACTCCGTCAGCAGTCTTCTTTGCCCTTGCCCAATCTTCATGACTTTACACTTGGTGGGATTGAACACCAGGAGTCAGTTGCTGGACCAGTCCTGCAGCCTGCCCAGATTTCTGCCAGATCCTCGTCGGATTGAATTCTCATCAACTTCACATCATCTACGAAGACACTTCTGAGCCTATTCCATCTGTCATGTTGTTCACAAATACCAAAAACAGCACCGGTGCTAGAACTGACCCCTGGGATCTCCGCTAGTCACAGGCGCCCACGCTGACGCCTCGCACGTACCATGACTCGCTGTTGTCTTCCTGAGAGGTATCCCCTGATCCACTGCAGTGCCTTCCCTGTTATCCCTGCCTAGTCCTCCAGTTTTTGCACTAATCTCTTGTGTGGAACTGTGTCAAACGCCTTCTTACAGTCCAAGAAAATGCAATCTACCCAGCCCTCTCTGTTTTCTTACTTCTGTCACCCTGTCATAGAACTCCAGTAGGCTTGCGGCACAGGATTTCCCGTCCCTGAAACCGTGCTGGCTGTCGTTGATAATTCCTCGCTAGGTGCTCTACCACTCTTCTCCTAATAATCTTCGCATACTATACACGTCAGTGACACTGGTCTGTAGTTTAATGCTTCGTGTCTGTCTTACATACCTCAGGTAGTCGCCCTATTTCGATAGATGTGTTGAAGAGCGTTGTTAGTGGTACACATAGTGCCTCTGCTCCCTGTCTCAGGACCCATGGAGAGATATTTTCCTGCCCCATCGCCTTTGAGGTATGTAGCTCACTTTGTAGCCTCTCCACTTCTTCCTCGGTTGTATGTATTGTGTCCGACATTTGATGGTGTACCCTACCTCTCCGTCTTTCTGGAGTCCCTTCTGTCTAATCTGTGAACACTTCTTTGAATCTCATTGTGAGCTCCTCACATACTTTGCGGTCGTTTCTTGTGATCTCCCCTCCTTCCTTCCTCACCCTGTGTGTGTGTGTGTGTGTGTGTGTGTGTGTGTGTGTGTGTGTGTGTGTGTGTGTGTGTGTGTGTGTGTGTGTGTGTGTGTATACCTGAGTATTTCTTGCGTTCATAAAACCTAAGTATAATCATAAACTATATTAACAAATGAGGACATAGCCTCTATGTTTAAAAGTAAAGAAACTGTCATCGTATCTGGACTGGGTTTTCTTGACGACTCTAGTTACGAGTAAAAAAAAAAAAAACATGTACAGTACCTCTCACATGGAGGGGGTCTGTTCTGCGCCAAAGCCATCGTCGGCATCAGCGTCAGCAGTGCCGCTAGTACCCCTGCGCTCCACCACCAGCTGCGTCCTCCAAGCATCATCATCTGTAACGGCGGAAGCAAAAAAACATAAAATCAACACCAGGTCTGAAAACGCCGTTTGTCGTGACTTTTTATCTTCCGCTTTGTGAATACGTCCCACAACCTTATTTGTTCACTATTCTGGATAGATGGAAAATTCATTCGCTTGTTTCCCTTCTCCCCCCCCCCCCCGGTCTGTGTGTGCTGCATGTTGGAGTTACAGCATAAGGCAAAAATGCGAAGTTGCTAATATGAAATATAAAAACCGAGTTGAATCAGCGTCACGAGCTGAGAGAGATAGAGAATTAACGTATGCTAACAAAAACTAAGCTACTGTCTAGTATTATTTATTTCTTAGTGAAGAAAGATAACGAGATGACAGTATAACAGACACCTCTCCAACTATCTCCTCCTTCCAGTACTAATGTACACGTCAAACAAAGTGGGGGAGATTCACAAGAACATCATGGAGCACATCCCCTAGGGGTTCGTTATGTTCTTCATGATGTTCTTATATTCTTCATAAGCACAAAAATAAAGGCTTTGGATCCAAAGAATTAGAAGAACTATGCTTTCTCTTGGGTTGAATCTTATTGCCTTCCATTTCCCTTGCTCTTTATGACCCCTACGGGTTTAACGTTGCTGCAAAATATAAAATTCGTGACAACAAGCTACTAATAATACTTCTATTTCTACCTCTACTACTAGTACTGCTACTATTATTACTGCTACTGCTACTACTACTATTGCTGCTATAACTGCTTCTAATTCTAATAAAAATAAAATTCATGACAAGCTACTAATAATTCTGTATCTGCTACTACTACTACAACAACTACTACTACAACAACTACTACTACAACAAATACTACTACTACAACTACTACTACAACTACAACTACTACTACTAATACTAATACCATTGCTGTTGCTATTACTGTTTCTAACTTTAATAAAAACAAACTCTGATATCTCCTCACATATTTCAGTATTTTAAGAAGTGTATGACTGACTTAAAATCAGCAAAAACTGTATATGTTATACCTTAGAACCTACACTTCACACATTGTACACGATCAGATTCATACGCTTCCACAGACTACCATAGATTATATATACTTCTGTAGAATACTATAGATTATATATACTTCTATAGACTACCATAATTATTATACACTACAATAGATTATATAGAGCTACCTGCTTCATCTAGAAGCTTATTCACCACTTGTTGATTTATGCTCCATCCTGAGCATTATGCTCCATCCTGGGTCTTATGCTACATACTGGGTCTGACGCTCTATCTCAGGTCTTATGCTCCATCTTATGCTCTATCCTGGGTCTTATGCTGTGCCCTGGGTCTTGTGCTCTGTCCTGGTCTTATGCTCTGTCCTGGGTCTTATGCTCCATCTGTGTTATGCTCAATTTTGGACCTAAACGAGCTAACTTTATTAACCTGCGGATCCCTCAGCTGTGGTGCTTTGATGCCAAGTAATGGCTCTTAAATCCTAATAAATGGAACTACCTTTCCCTTTCTTGATATAAACCTGATTACCTCCCATTCCCTAGGCGCTGCCTGGCCCTTGCGGGCTTAGCGCTTCCCCCAAGAATATAACATTAACATACAGGTGATACTCGTACTTTGAGGGTGAAATTTCGACACGGCAAAGAGAGAATATTTTATTTACAGTGGAATATTATATTATTATTACTGGAGAAGCGCTGAACTTGGAATGGGAGGCAATTAGGTTTAATCCGAGGAAGTGTAGCTTTAATTTCTTGGATCAAGAGCCCTTCAGCAACATCAAGGCTCACTTTTCCATCTAAAAGGGACATGATGGAATAGTCTTGCTATCAATGCCCCCTGGACCAGTAATCCATCCCAGGACCATATGAGATGGTGTCTGTGGTGAGAGAGAGAGAGAGAGAGAGAGAGAGAGAGAGAGAGAGAGAGAGAGAGGCCTGACTCAGCTGTGGGCACAAGTGTTGGTTCATGCAAATATCACAATTTGAGTGTGCAAGTGAGAGAGCGGTGGAGGATGCCAGGAGGAGGAGGAGGAGGATAAGGATGAAGTAAGCAAGGACAATGAAGAGGAAAAGGAAAGATAATAAGAATAGTTTTACAAAGAAAAGAAGTGGAACGAGAGGTAAAATGAAAAGAGGATAAGAGAAAAGTAGAAAGAACAAACGAAAACGAAGCAAAAGCTGAACAAGGGAACGAAGACAAAGAGCAAGAGACAAATAACAGGTTAAAATATCAGAAATAACGTAAAGCAAAACAAAAGAAAGAACATGGAGGGAAAAAGTGAATATGAAAATCAAAGATATAACAGAGCGGAGAGTTCAGTAGAGTATTAAGAGAATATTCATAATTTTGAGAATTAACTGTGCTACTCAAGTATTTACTGTGATACTAATGCATTAAACGCGTTACGTGAGTTTTAACTGTGATGCTGTAGTATTAACTGTGATACTCTGGTGTTAACTGTGATGCTCAGGTATTATCTGTGATACGCTGGTATTAACTGTGATACTCTGGTATTAACTGTGATGCTGTGGTATTAACTGTGATACACTGATAATAACTGTGATGCTCTGGTATTATCTGTGATACGCTGGTATTAACTGTGATACTCTGATATTAACTATGATGCAGTGGTATAAACTCTGATACTCTAGTATTAACTGTGATGCTCTGATATTAACTGTGATGCTGTGGTATTAACTGTGATACTCTGGTATTGACTGTGATGCTGTGGTATTAACTGTGATGCTGTGGTATTAACTGTGATGCTGTGGTATTAACTGTGATACTCTGGTATTAACTGTGATGTTGTGGTATTAACTGTGATACTCTGGTATTAACTGTGATGCTGTGGTATTAACTGTGATACTCTGGTATTAACTGTGATGCTGTGGTATTAACTGTTATACTCTGGTATTAACTGTGATGCTGTGGTATTAACTGTGATACTCTGGCATTAACTGTGATACTCTGGTATTAACTGTGATGCTGTGGTATTATCTGTGATAAGCTGGTATTAACTGTGATACTGTGGTATTAACTGTGATACTCTAGTATTAACTGTGATGTTCTGGTATTAACTGTGATACTCTGATATTAACTGTGATATGCTGGTATTAACTGTGATGCTCTGATATTAACTGTGATACGCTGGTATTAACTGTGATGTTCTGGTATTAACTGTGATACTCTGGTATTAACTGTGATACTGTGGTATTAGCTGTGATACTCTGGTATTAACTGTGATACTCTGGTATTAACTGTGATACTGTGGTATTAGCTGTGATACTCTGGTATTAACTGTGATACTCTGGTATTAACTGTGATACGCTGGCATTAACTGTGATACGCTGGTATTAACTGCGATGCTCTGGTATTAACTGTGATACTGTGGTATTAACTGTGATACTGTGGTATTAACTGTGATAGTCTGGTATTAACTGTGATACTCTGGTATTAACTGTGATACTCTGGTATTAACTGTGATACTCTGGTATTAACTGTGATACTCTGGTATTAACTGTGATACTCTGGTATTAACTGTGATACTCTGGCATTAACTGTGATACTCTGGCATTAACTGTGATACTCTAGTAATAACTGTGATGCTCTGGTATTAACTGTGATACTCTGGTGTTAACTGTGATACTCTGGTATTAACTGTGATACTCTAATAATAACTGTGATGCTCTGGTATTAACTGTGATACTCTGGTATTAACTGTGATACTCTGGTATTAACTGTGATACTCTAGTAATAACTGTGATGCTGTGGTATTAACTGTGATGCTCTATTATTAACTGTGATACTCTAGTAATAACTGTGATGCTCTGGTATTAACTGTGATACTCTGTTATTAACTGTGATACTCTGGTATTAACTGTGATACTCTAGTATTAACTGTGATACTCTGGTATTAACTGTGATACTCTGGTATTAACTGTGATACTCTAGTAATAACTGTGATACTCTGGTATTAACTGTGATGCTCTAGTAATAACTGTGATGCTCTAGTAATAACTGTGATGCTCTGGTATTAACTGTGATACTCTAGTAATAACTGTGATGCTCTGGTATTAACTGTGATACTCTGGTATTAACTGTGATATTCTAGTAATAACTGTGATACTCTAGTAATAACTGTGATGCTCTGGTATTAACTGTGATACTCTAGTAATAACTGTGATGCTCTGGTATTAACTGTGATACCCTGGTATTAACTGTGATGCTCTAGTAATGACTGTGATGCTCTGGTATTAACTGTGATACTCTAGTAATAACTGTGATGCTCTGGTATTAACTGTGATGCTCTGGTATTAACTGTGATACTCTAGTAATAACTGTGATAATTGAATATTTACATTGTTACTAAGTATTAAGAGTGCTAGAAGAGTTGTCAGCAGAATATTAATATAAGATAATAACAGAAGCTATCACTGTATTGTCACTGTATTAACACTGTATTAACACTGTATTAACACTGTATTAACACTGTGATAATTGAATATTTACAGTGTTACTAAGTATTAAGAGTGCTAGAAGAGTTGTCAGCAGAATATTAATAAAAGATAATAACAGAAGCTATCACTGTATTGTCACTGTATTAACACTGTATTAACACTGTATTATCACTGTATTAACACTGTATTATCACTGTATTAACACTGTATTAACACTGTATTATCACTGTATTATCACTGTATTAGCAGTGTATTATCACTGTATTGTCACTGTATTAACACTGTATTAACACTGTATTAACACTGTATTATCACTGTATTATCACTGTATTAACACTGTATTAACACTATTATCACTGTATTATCACTGTATTATCACTGTATTATCACTGTATTAGCAGTGTATTAGTTTGCTTACAGAATATTAGGGAAAAAATATCAATAAAGTATTATTACATTAAGAATGTAATATAGCATATTTTGAGTATTAAAATAATAATTGTAAGAGGATTTAATATATTATTAGTATTATAATCAAA